AGAACCCCACATATCAATCTTCTCCTCCTCCTTTTGTGTGTGTATGCATACACACATGAACATAAAATACATAGTCATATAAGGTTACTGCACAGATGTATTACATTGTCTCCAGTATGTTGATTACCAGGGATCCTGGTTTTCTCTGTTTAAAAAAAAATTTTTTTTTAAAAATCACAAATTCTGTGATTAAAAATCTCAAAATCTGATTAAAAATCCAAAATCCTTGTTTTTGCACAATTGAAATAAAATGCCACTTATAGATATAAAATATAATATATAGGTATCAGTTGAAAACAATGTTTTATTGATATATTTATAATTTTAAAGCAGTTTGGAAGTCTACCAGTACCTCAATTATTATAATAAAATACATTTTAAATACCTATATATTTTGGTATTTGATTTTGTTTTCTTTATCATGGAAAAAAATTAGAGCTTCCCCTGCTCCCTCCTCGTCTTCTCTGGGCTGTCCGCAGCCCTGTCTCTGCACCCCAAAATACTGCGCCCTCAACTGCCACCAGGGTCTGCGCCCCCAAAATGCCGTGCCAACGCCGCCCCGCCACTGCGTTGTGGCACTGAGCAGCCCTGATACACCATTACCCCTCACTCCCAAGCCACAGCCCTCCCAAGCCCTGCCAGTACCCCTCACTTCCAAGCCACAGCCCACCCATCCCCATCCCTCTGACACATCACCTATGGACACACTGCCCCCCCTCATAGACTTACATAAAGGGCATTGCAGAAGCTGTTCTTCACCACACTACCTAGCTGCCATGTACATGTGTGTGCATGCACATGCACATGGTGCCCCCTGCATCCCACCCCACCATTCCCAAGCAGCCCCTTGCAGGCTAGGACTCTACCAGCCTGCACAGGGAAACCCATGGTTTCCCAAGTTTTTCTCCTTTAAAGTAGAAAATCTGTGTTCTTCCGCAGCAAACAGAAAATCCAGATCTCTGCTGATTACTATGTACAGTTCCGTGTCTTATCTGCATCTCATCTGCCTTGTTCAGAGGGTCACTTACCTGCCAGAGACTGCAGATCGAACGAAGACCTGAGAGAGTGTCTAGACCAGGGGTGGGCAAAACGTGGCCTGCAGGCCTGATGCAGCCCGCCAGACCATTCTATGCAGCCCACGGGGCCCCTAAAAATTAATTTTCTAAATTTTTTATCTGCCCCTGGCTGCCTATCATGTGGCCCTCAATGGTTTGCCAAAACTCAGCAAGCAGCCCTCCGCTCAAAATAATTGCCCACCCCTAGTCTAGACAATGTTGAGGAGTTATTGCCAGCAAGAAGAGATGGCAGAAATTATATAAGCATCCCTGAATGAGAAGATGAACCAATTGTTTGTTAAATTAACCACTTTAATAGACATTGTTCGTCAGCTCCTAGCTGAGGCCAAAAGCACTTTGTTTTATCTGTGCTTGGTGAGAAATGTACCTTTCAGATGCAGGGGTGGAATGTTTCTCACCAACAGAGAAGTGGGGACGGGTGTTTAGGAGGGAATAGAATGGAAAGGTGCTGTAAAACATTTGACTGATTACATTTAAGCAATTTTGATTCTGGTATAGATTGTTTGTAAAGCACAGCACTCACCAAAAGTTTCCTCATATCCTGGTGTCACGGAACGGGGTCCCTAAGGATGGCCATGTTATCCCTAAGGCCCCTCAACCATGCCAGTTTGGCCTGATGGGCACCCTCTTTTCTCACCCACCATGTCTTGATGTAATTGTAATATAGGGAGGCTGCCTTCACATCCAGCTGGACACGGTTCTGATGGACTTCTCTGAACCCTGTGGATTCCCGGACCCCTCGTGGGTCCCATTTCAAAATAGATTTCTCAGAACACCCCAGCCTTATGGGCTATATGCGTGGCTCTAAACCACCACTTTACCATGCCCCAAGCCTCGCAGATGGCATTGTCGTTGTCCGGTTTGGCCTTGCTGTGATTTGGCCCCCTTGTCCTCTCTGGGCTCTTTGCAGCCCTGTCTCTGCACCCCAAAATGCCATACCCTCGCTTCCACCAGGGTCTGTGCGCCCCCAAAATGCTGCGCCCTCGCTGGCGCCGGTGTCCTCACACTGCAGTGGGCCCCCAATGAGGCCTCCTCCTTCTCCAAGTAGCCTCACCCAAACCACTGATGTTATAAACAGCAAACAAAACATAAGCCCCTGGGCTATAGCATAATACAAAAGGTCAGGGTGTGCTCTGACCCTTTAACAGAATCAGATTTTGTCCCTGGCACTAAGTGTCTAGTAGGCAAGGGTACCTGTGGAGCTCATGGAGCCCCCTTAGCCCTAGGTGCAGCATATCAGGCAGTTGCAGCATCACTGGGCACTTCCTCCCTGGAGGCTCTTTCCCCTCTGGCTGCTAGCAGGGAACTGCCTCCCTGGCCTCAGCCCTGGGGTTTATATATATGCCAGGCCCTGCCCCTTCTGGTCAGCTGACCACTGGCAGGTGCAGGCCAACTATCACACTCTGGCCGCCCTGGTAACCAGCAGCTGGGGCTGCCAACTGCCTGCCCGGGCCCTCCCCACAGCAGTTCCAGCCCTCAAAAGGAGCAGGACACCCCAGTGCCCTAGCTATGATGGACTACTGAAATATTGCCACTTACGGCTTTCACCGGATTGGGCACTTAAATGGCTGTGCCTGTGTTGTCATGTCAGAGGCAGGACACTCCAGTCCAACAGTTATGAATCTCACATGATACTTGGGTGTTGAGCTGCCTTGGAGTTCCCTGCAGCCATGTCTTTTAAAGAGAAGCTTCAAGATTAAAAAAAAATCTTGAAATTAAAAATAAACCAGAAGCTCTGAGGAGGTAAAATTACTTGTATAATTAATTAAGTCGATGCATGGCAGTAAAGGGAATTAAAAAAAAAATCCTTCTGAAGGTCAAATGTACACAAGTTAAATGTAGTTCTCCACTCACAATGATGTCTCTTAAAGAAAAAAGCATTATCAGGCTATTTTAGTTATACTCGCTACACTTATTCTCACAATAATCAGAGCCTGTTATCTGGGGCCTTGCAATATCTGTGACTCACAGGCTAATGATGAAAATGTCTCACACATACATCAGTAGTTTCTTTTTAAGATGTGTAAATCATGAACTTTTGGTGCAACTTAATCTTTAACATTTCCTTTTTAAAATCCCAGCTGGGGTCTAAATATGAAAATATTTCATCCCCTGGTGATGCAAGGAAATTAAAGACACCTGTCAACAAATATGCCAACCCAGATTCTTTTGCTGCAAACAGGATCTACAGGGAACTTGTCTGCTTGGCCAGAAAACCTCTAGTTCCTCGCTTCCCCCCATTTGCAAATGTGACAAGCACTTGGCAAATACAGGAGGGCATCATTCCACTACCCGCTGGGTCTCTCTGCTACAGTTCCTGTAGAGCTGCATAGGTTGATGGTGTTCGGTATGCTCCTTTTACCTGGTTATGGTAATATATTAGGCATAAGCAGAGCATTTGCAAGATACAACAAGGAAAATGTAAACTCAGCTAGTATATCTACACTTTAAATATGGGCAATATAAACCTCATGGAAGGAGAGAGCTAACAGACAAACATCATATCAGTTTCTAGCCAGGAACCAAAAACTATTCATACTCTAGAAATAGCTTCCAGCTAACTACATGACAAGCAATACTCTTCAGATCCCTCCTAAAACTCACTTCTTCAAAGTCAAAGTCCTGGTGCCAGACTTTTATTTTTAAATGCCTCCAATATGGCTAATAGGGTGACTGAAATGACCAGCCAAGCACAAACCCATTGAAATTGATATCAGTTTAGTATGACATTGTACATTAGACTGAAATCAGACAAGCAGCTTATTGGGAGGCAGCTGCCTTCAGGAGGCAGGTGCTATTACTGCACTTTTCTCCAATATGGCTGTCTTAGACAAAGGGCCAACCCAGGATGGGCATGGGCAGACAAAAACCTTAACCTATGTAACATACCAGTGGAGTTTTATCTCTGATTCTTTCATAGGTAATTCTCTAACAGTTGCCACAGTTTAAGGCTTTCATTATGTGTCAACTTGTTTAGACTTGTTTAAAAAATAGTAGATCACACTGGTATAAACATATCATCTATCCAGGCTTTGAGAATCCTTGAAAAGCATGGCTCCCACTATCCCTTTCATAGTGCTGTCTGCTCAGTTCATATGTCTTCACTGTTATCTGTCATAATATATCTCTCTCTATAGATTACAAGATCTTTTAAGCCAAGCAGGGATCTTGCCTTCATTTAATTTGGTATATAAACATTTCTCCTTCTGGTTTTGCCAACTGTGTGTATGTTGAGTGGTACTTTCCTACCAGAGTAGTTCAAGTATAAGCTGTAGAGCTGCTTGTCTGGCAAGGTAGAATCAAGCCCAAGACTGGAGAGTACCAGACTCTTGCCTTGCTTCTGGCTGTCACTAATATTTCTTTGCCTTTTTTACTTGTCAAATTTTAGACCTTGCTGCTAATATAATTAGTGTAATATTTAGAACATTATGGATTGTTTAGAGTGAATGTAACATAATAGCTGCTCCACCTCAGACTAAACAAAGGGAGAATATAATTTACCCCAACTGTACTCTGTTTGCTTGACTTTTATATTTTTCTGTTTTATACATTTTTTAACGCTCTGCTGTTTACAAACTGCTTCCCTGGCTCCTCTTATATTCTCTGCTTTTCATTCTGTGGGTACCTTAAATAGTCGCAGACTTGGCAGATGTCTTGTGTTCAGAAGAAACCAAACTTTAGCCAAACATCTGGCATCTGCAGCCACAGTAGTTTGTTTGTTTGGCCTCTGTGGTGCAGTATATGGATTATGTATATGGAGACAGAGAGGATCTATAAGAAGTAACAAGGTCTACTGTGGGGCTGGAAAACAGAAGCTGCCTGAATTCCAATCCTGGCTCTGCAGCTGACTTATCTTTTTGGCCTTGAGTGAGTTCTGAGTATTAATATAGAAGAAAAATCTAAGCACCTGCCTTTCTCTTGTAGGTCGCCATTGTGAAGTTCATCAAATGATTGGAAACTACATGTGGGATCCAAAAACAAGCACCTCTTTTGATATTGGTGTGAATAAAGACAGCCTATTACCCCTGTGGTGGAATGGATCGGAGCCTTTGTGGGTCACCATGATGAAAGCAAAGAAGAAAGTGTCTATGTATTACTGGCCTGGTTGGTATCTCTAAATGCAGCTCCTCAAAAATCACTGCCCGTTTAATGTTACATCTTTAAATCTTTGGGCAGACACCCTCCCTTCCCCCCGCCGAAGGATAGCTCTAGCATAATACTGCAGTTATGAAATATAAACAGCAGTACGGTACTTGTGTATCCTTAAGCCATCTACATTTAATAATTCTATTTCTCATTTTCCCAGGTTGGTTACAGCTTGCATAAAATAATGTCAAACTGTTAATGGTTTAGCTTACCCAAAAGAAAGGAAATAAATGAACCTTTAACCTTAGGAAGCATTATACAGTTTCCCTAGGAAGCGCACAGTCTGTAGAATAAAAATAAGGACTTTTTTTCATTGCTCTTTTCGTCTCTGTTAGATGCCCCATTGTTTCTAGTTTTAGCCATTCCTTTTGAAAACCTTGGCTTTTGTCCATAGAAGTCAGGCATTCACTTTTCTTTTTGTATTTAGTATTAGCCTACTCTGCTCCCACTGAAGACAATGGAACTGTATAACAAGTACTTTATTACAAACAATTAGGCTGTACAGTTAACCCAATACACAGAAAAAAACCATTTCTTATATGCAACATGACTGAGCTTTACCTATGTAAAGGGAAATTGTGTATATGCAAGGAAACTCGCTTTCATTTCTCACTTCTCAGCAATTTAGCTCTCAAGTCTAAGCACTGCATTAACATAGTTTCTTTTATATCTAATCGTGTACTAGAGGATCACACAACAGAATGACAGTGTTGGATAGATCCACTGTTGATGGGCACAGCAGGGGCAGCTGGCCCATTTCTTCAGGCTCTCTGCCAATCTGTCTCATTCATCCCATCACACATGTGCCCAGTCACGTCTTCCCAGTACAATGCTGTGAATAACAGTCAGTGCAAAACACTACAGTGCTCAGGAATGGAAAGAAATTGCAGAACAAGATGGTTTGTGGTCAGACAGAGGAACTTGCCACATCACTGCTGAGTAAAGCAGGGAGTGAAGTATTGAAACATTGCTCTGTAGGTCCAGTTATACTTTACACTAGAACATTTCTGGGAATGTATCCCCAAAAAGTATATTCTTATGGGAGTAATCTATTGAACAGAAACAAAAACAATCGGCTTCTACAGAAACTGCTCTGAATAGATTGTAATAATTTCCAGTGAATCTTATAGATAAAATTCAACCATTAAATTCCATAAGAAAGTCCAGTTTTTGAGTGCAGTTCCTGAAAGAAAGGTGTATAGTGGGTCATATGTGTAGTGGGTATAGTGTATGCCCTAAAGCACTTTACCTATGGCATAATTTGCTTGACACATTGGGTGATAACCTGGCTCTACAAAAGCCTATGGGGATGTCTCAGCCATCTATATCCCTCAGAGCAGGCACCTCAAATGGAATTATTCCGGTTTTACAAAGCAAGCAAGTGTAGGCTTAACCTTAAGTAAATAATTAGCTACTATTAAACCATAAACTTTACTTGGGATGAGTAACTGATAGGATTCTACAGAAATGTAATTGAAATCTTTCCAAATATAACTGAATTTGATGGAATGAGATTTTTTTTCTGTTACTGTTGTTGAACCATTATATGGAATTCCACAGGAGGGAAGTAACTCTCTTTTCAAAAAATACATAACAAGCTATGAAGTCTTATTAAATTATAGAAGGTGAAACATTCAGAATGAGGAGACAAAGGCAGGCTGAAAAAGAAAAGTGATGGTCTAAAAAAGAGCATGAGTCTAAAAACGAATATCCCAGAGAGTGGTGGTGGATGGGTGATTTTTGACCTGGAGGGCCATGGGCAGTGGGTCCCCCAGGGCTCAGTCCTCGGGCCCGCACTGTTCAACATCTTCATCAGCGACTTGGACGAGGGGGTGAAAAGCAGCTTGTTCAAATTCGCAGATGACACTAAGATGTGGGGAGAGGTGGGCACACTAGAAGGGAGGGACAGGCTGTAATTGGATCTGGACAGGTTACAAGGGTGGGCGGATGAGAATAAGATGGGATTCAATACTGACAAGTGCAAGGTACTACACCTAGGAAGAAAGAACCAGCAGCATACCTACAGGCTGGGGAACTCCCTTCTCATCAGCACAGAGGCAGAAAAGGATCTTGGAGTCATTATAGACTCCAAGATGATGGCCCGCCAATGTCAGGACGCAGTCAGGAAGGCTAATCGCAGCTTGTCATGCATCCACCGATGCATCACGAGCAGGTCAAAGGAGGTGATTCTCCCCCTCTATGCAACACCGGTCAGGCCCCATTTGGAGTACTGAATCCAGTTCTGGGCGCCGCACTTCAGGAGGAACATCAAGAGGGTCCAGAGGAGGGCCACTCGCATGATCAGGGGGCAGCAGGGCAGGCCCTACGGGGAGAGGCTAGAGGACCTGAACCTGTTCAGCCTCCACAAGAGAAGGCTGAGAGGGAATCTGATGGCCGTCTATAAATTGGCCAAGGGAGACCAGCAGGCAATGGGAGAGTCCCTGTTCCCCCGAGCGCTACTGGGAGTAACAAGGAATAACGGCCATAAGTTGACTGAGGTTAGATTCAGCCTAGACATCAGGAAGTACTACTTCACAGTCAGGGTGGCTAGGATCTAGAACCAACTTCCAAGGGAAGTGGTGCTCACTTCTACCCTGGGGGTCCTTAAAAGGAGGCGAGATAGACACCTTGATGGGGTCGTTTGACCCCAGCATCCTTTGCTGCACATGGCAGGGGGTCGGACTTGATGATCTGTTCAGGTCCCTTCCAACCCTACCAACTATGAAACTATTCAGAATTTTGTAGCTTTTTGCTTATGTGTATGTTAACAACGCACGGGACACAACATGGAACAGTTAAAACAACATGGGACATCTTTGGTTAGCTGTGAATCTTATGAATTCATTACAGGGTGTAACCACTAACCAGGCAATGTTTGGGAAGCTGTAATAGGTCTTGTCTGCATCACGACAGTGGCAGGTCCCAGAATCTTGGAGTTGAACACGTCCCAAGCCCAAGGGTATATTCCAAACTGGAAATGAGTCAGTGAGGCAGCTGTGGACTTGCCACTTTGTGCCTGCTTTCAAGTATTCAGTCTCTGGTGGGTCAGACAGCTGGTTGTAGGGACAAGCCATGAGCAACTTCACCAAAGCATATTCAACAGGAGTGCACCTGAGGAGTTGGCTGGGTGGGCCAGGGGAAGGCATGCTCAAACCCCCTAAATCCAGGACCTGCTATTGCAACCATACACCATAGTGCCAGAAAGGCAGGGCCTTATTCATTGCAGTTAGAGCTAGAAGGCACTATGGGCATTTATACACATGCTCCCGGAGTGTGCGTGTGTGTGTGTGTGGGGGGGGCATTAATTAGAGCAGCTCCAAGATCCACTCTAAATAAAGCAATTAATCGAGTCTGCTCTGCCTTGCTGCAGGTGTATAAGCACCCTATTTGCCTTTTCACCAACAATGTGCACTACAGTCCAGACAGACACATTCCTGCATATATCATATGTATGCTCCATGTGTCATGCAGTTAGCTCCTAGAGGAGCCTATATCATTACACTTTCCATATCAGAACCAACCAGTTTTAAAGGTGCAGTGAATTTTCAATCTAAACTCTTCAGCATGACCCCCTTTCATATTTCCCTGTGTCTATGTGACTTTGGTCAGGCTGCAGTTGGAGTACTGCATCCAGTACTGGGCGCCGCACTTCAAAAGGGATGCGGCCAGCCTGGAAAGGGTTCAGAGGAGGGCCACCCACTTGGTGAGAGGGCAGCAGGACAGGCCCTACGAGGAGAGACTGAGGGACCTGAACCTGTTCAGCCTCAGCAAGAGGAGGCTGAGGGGGGACCTGGTGGCTGCCTACAAGCTCATCAGGGGAGATCAACAGCAAATAGGCAGAGCCCTTTTCTCCCCAGCACCACCTGGGGTGACAAGGAACAATGGTCATAAACTGATGGAGAATAGGTTTAGGTTAGAGATCAGAAGGCAATATTTTACAGTTAGGGTGGCCAAAATCTGGAACCAACTTCCCAGGGGTTTTGGTGACCCCAGCATTCTTCCCTGCCTGTGGCAGGGGGTCAGGCTAGATGATCTGTTCAGGTCCCTCCTGACCCTAGCTACTATGAAACTATGAAAACGCTAAAGAAAACCACAGCTGCTCTTTATGACTTTGAATCTTCAGAACACTATAGCTTTGCCTGCTAGAAATGAAAAAACAGAATAAACTAAAAACACAAGTTTATTTTACTAATGCTTATGTGTAGTTTTAATTGTTGCTTCTTTCCTATCTAAAATTAAGTGCAAACCAAAGCTACATCAATGATAGTTAAATATGACCTTATCTTAAAACAGTCAATAGTCTTAAATTAAATAGAAAACAAAATTAAAATAGTGCTTAGTTGAAAAAAATCTTTAAAAGAGTATTGTATAAAGCAGGCTAGATGATCTGTTCAGTTCCCTCCTGACCCTAGCTACTATGAAACTATATATGCAGCTCAGTGTCCAAGAGAAACTGGACTTAAAACTGGCAGTTATGGACATAGAAAGCAGAAAAAGTTTTTGCTGTAAATGATTATCTGTCACAGCTTTATTGGTAAAGATGACAAAAATAACAAAGCTAAAATGCAAACATAATATATCACTAGTTCCAGTTCTGGAAACACAGAAGCAAAACATCATTACCAAAAGGACTCCCAATTGCTATTTGTGGTAAAACATTAGTGTTCTAAGCATTTGGTTTTATAGGAACATTTTGCTCCTTTTTAATCACTACTAAACAAAGGGGTCTGTTTCAGAGATGAATACACAATATTTAAAAAGCGTTTTCTGTTCTCCCAGCCTCCATTCATAGCAGTAAACCAATCAACCTTGAAATGCCTCGCAATCAAGTGATATACTATAAGTAATACAGCATTCGAGTTGAAATGTACAGTCTCATATTCTCTGTATATCATTTGACAGAACTGACACTGCAGTGAACAATAGAATTTCAAAGGAATACTATTACATTTTAGCTG